CACGGAAGTTCTCTGCGGGTGGTGGTTAGTGAGCTGCACGCTTCTGGGGAGGAACCGGGGCCGAACAGCGGGACGTATGGAATGGGGGTGCGCTGGGGGCTCGTCGCCGCCCGCCCTCGTGGCGGCGTGGATTGTCGGAGTCCAGGCGGTGGGGCGGGCCCCCCGGGCAGGCAGGCGTGTCGCCTGCCCTGGCGCCGGGCGTGGGCTGTGGGGGAGGGAGGCGCCACGGGGCTCCGAGACGCGGCAGCAAGGTCGGCCCCTGGAGCCGGGGGCGCTCGGGGGCGGGGGCGGCGGCGGCTATTTAGGGACCGGAGGCGGCTTTGGGCTGTCAGGCCCCCTCCACGGTCCCGGATGGGGCTCTGGCACCGTCAGCGGCAGCCACTTCTGCCTCCGGTGCGGAGGGAGCAGCGTTGGTACCGCGAGCAGTGCCCAGCGCTCTGCCCCCTCGTGTTTGGGAAAATCAAGTGGTTTCCTCGGAGATCGCTTTTCGTTGCCAGGGAAATGTCACATGCCCGCGTTAGGAAGCCTTGAACTGTTGCCTGGCAATGTTTCCGATCGCTCTGAGTACTAATAACTAATTAAAAAGTAATGAAACACCACCTCTTTTTCTTAAGGCGCTCGAGCAAGCTGTCCTTCGGGAGTGTCCTGCGTGTCTGCGGGGAACGGGCACGAGCCTCAGCAGAGGGAGTGCGTTAAACGTCGAGAGCGCTCTCCGCTGCTGTCCCGCGTCTCGGAGACTTGCTCGGCCTCCGGCGCCTGCTCAGGGCAGGGAGGGCCCATCAGCCGGGGCGGTCAGTGCAGCTCGCGTGGGGGCGAGGCCCGGGGCCTGGAACCCTGGCGGCGGTTGCCTGGACAAGCCCGGGTGCCTGCCACGCTGCTGTCGCCGAGTCGCCCGGGCGCCTGTGTGTAGCTGCTGTTCGCTGAGGAGGTGTTCGGGGCGAGCCCCTCCCCTCTGGAGGGAGCACAGGCCAGTCCTGCCGAGGGGCCTCTCCGGGCGGCCGGCTTTCGGCCAAGCCACCGCGCGGGTCCGTCCTCAGCGCTCCTGCACTCAGGCCCCGCAGGACGCCGGCAGCAGGGGGAGTCGGAGGTCAGGCTCCACTCGCCCCGTGGTCTCGCCAGGTCAAGGGCACTTCCGACCGACTGCCTCCCGCCGTGGGCGCAGAGCGTGAGCACCACGGGCACCTCTTCCTGGGAGTCGCTGTTCGCTCGGCCACTGGCCTAAGAACAACTGCAGTTCTGGCCACCACTCCACTGCTGGCCCCTTTTGCCCCACACGGTCCCGGTCCCGGTCCCGGTCCCGGTCCCAGGAGGCAGGTGGTGCCCCTGTGCTGGAGGCGTGTGCGCGGCCCTCGTGTTCCCCAGCCCGCCCAGAGGCGCGGGGGCGGGGGGGGCGGCAGGGCGGGGTGCAGGCCCGGCCCTCTGGAGCGCCTGGGAACAGTTCACAGTTGGGCTGTCTTGCCGTTGCTGAGGCAATGCTGCAGGTGGACACCTGCCCAGCCGCCCTGCCGACCAGGCCAGCTCGTGGTCCCTGAAACGCCTGCAAACATCCTGTGTCGAGGGCTTGATGTCCGTGGGCCCAAGGCCCTGAAAGTGAAGAGGGGGAGAGGGCACGTCCTGGCCCGGGGGTTGGGAGGTGCCAGGGAGGAGAGGAGTTCTTCCCATGTGAGGCCACACTGGCCGGCCTATTTTAGGCCCCTGTCACTTGGCTGCCGTCATCTTCGAAGGGCAGAGAACGATCTTGGAAACAGCGGCTTCCAAAAAGCCCGCCTGGTGCTGGCGCGGCCATTGCTGCTGAGTCTTGAGACTGTTCTCCTTCCAGAGCCAAAGAAACTGAGCCGCCTGGCGAGAAGCCGCTGCCCAGCTGCCCAGCACAGGCCCAGGCGGCACGGTGGCCACCTTGATGGGGGGTTATCGTGACCTGGGCAGAGGGCTCTTGCCCTCCGGGCATTCTCTCCTCCTCGAACTTCAGCACCTTTTGGAGGAGCACCCCCTTACCGCTCCGCGTGAAAACCGCCCCGGCAGCTCTCAGCCGGGCGCCCGGCAGCGACTTGTCTTGCTCCCCCCCAGTGGCAGACGGGCAGTTTGCGAGGCATTTAGTGATGAGCGTCGTGCTGGAACGTTTCCCCTGGTAAAGAAGGAACGAGTAGATGGGGAGTGCGTGTCGGAGTTGGCAGACCGAGGAAGACGCTCCACGGAGACGGGGTTTGGGCGCTGCTGTCGGGAGGGGCGCTCGGGAGCACTGGCCTCCCAGGGCCGGTGGGGGGAGAGTGCGGCCGTGACCCCAGCCTCAGCCGCTGCAGCAGGAGCCGTGCTGCTTGTCCAGAGCTCATCCGCTGGTTTGGGAAAACGAGAAGGATGCCTTGTGTGCCCAGGGTTACCTGGCCAAGTGTTCGTCTACGTCGAGTCAGCTGCCGTCCCCGGACGCTGGGCGGGTGGCTGGGCCTGAGGTTTGTCTGGGGGCGCTTGCCCGTTCTCCTGGGGAAGCTCCAGTCGCGGATGCCTTCCCCCGCCGAGGGGTCACCAGCCGCGTGGCCCCACCAGGAAGTGCCTGCGGTGGGCTTGGCGAGGGCCGCGGTGCTCAGGCCGCTCGCAGGGTGGCCACGCTCTGACCGATCAGAGCCTCAGAGGGCTTTTGTTCGTGTGGGTTATTATATGTTACTGGACATTTAAAAAATATGTACTTGCTAATTCATTTAAAAAAGTGATAAGCTATTACATCTTAATGTAAATCACCTGTTTTAATTGAAATACCTACATATTGTGTTGGCCAGAAAGTCCATACTTTTTTCCCTAAAATAAAAGACACATTTTTCATTTTTACCAGTAACTTCATTGATTTGGATGTTTTGAGCATGTTGGCTGCCTCCCGCTCTTGGCTTCCAGTGGGGAGAGGCCAAGGGAGCTGCTCAACACCTTCCCGTGCACAAGGCAGTGCCCTGGCGGGGGGGGGGAATTTGGTCGAAATGTCAGTAGAGCCGAGAAACTTCACAAACCACCTTGACATGTTCAGTCAGTCACAGCACCTTCTCCACACACTGCACAAATTCTTTTTTTGTGTTTCAGTTGCATTTTTACCGTTTTTGAAATATGCATAATACACCAAAAATGTTGCATGTTTTTTTCCATCCTCAATATTAAAATGGCTGCACAAAAATTCACGAAATCTGATGGATTTTTTTTTTTTTACTTATTTATTTATTTATTTTTAGAGGGGGAAGGGAGAAAGAGAGGGAGAGAAACACCCATGTGTGGTTGCCTCTCACGCACCCTCTACCGGGGACCTGGCCCGCCACCCTGGCCTGTGCCCTGACTGGGAATTGAACCAGCCACTCTCTGGTTCACAGTCCAGTGCTCAATCCAATGAGCCGCACCAGCCGGGGCTGATGAGTATTTTTTAATGCATCCTGATACAACAGCTGTCACAGGACAGTTGAACAAAGTTGTTTCACATGCGCACCACTGGAGCCATCGTGTGGAAAAAATGTAACAGGCTTTTTGGCCAACCCAGTACTTTCCAAAACAAAAAGAAATGAGAACAGTTGTGTTGTTTTACGTTTTTGCAAATCCCTTATCATGTCTGGACTCAGTTTGTTTGATACGTTGTGTCGATGGAAGCACAGGACGGCAGTCGGGGCTCACGTTGAGAAAAGGGCGGTACAGCAAGTGGCCGTCTCGGGGCCGGTGGGCGCCCCCCTTGGGCACGCGGCTGGGCTGCAAGGCCTGGAGCCGTGGCCCCCTCCCCGTCGGCGGCCAGGTGGGACCGGAGACCACGTCAGCGGGCGTTTCCCCCGTCCTGGCATTGAAGCCCAGAGGCCTGGCTTGCACCCCGGGTGACCCTGACCCGTGCGCGGTCTCCTGACACTAGCGCTTGGGGGTGCGGAAGCGCCGGCTCCTCGAGCCGCGCGGGCCTCCCGGCTGCGCCCCGCGTTGCGGGGCCCCGGGCACCCCTGCAGTGTGCTGTGGAGCCACCAGGCTGAGGTGGTGGCTGCGCCCCCAAACGCTGGTGGCAGAAAACACCGGCTGTTTTCTCTGAGCTGACAGGCTCGCTCTGTTCACCTTCAAGGCTCAGTCACCATTTGTCTGTCGGCCGCCGGAGTGAAATGGGGGTGCCCAGGGGGGCGGCTGTCTCATCTTGTGCGCGGAGGTGCTCCTGCTTTTCCTCGGCCACGGCTTCACGCGGCCGCATGCCCTGCGTCCCGGGCGTGCGCATCCGCCCCGCGTGGTCCAGCGGAGGGCTGAGGCCTGACAGAGCTCGTGGCTTCCACTGCTCGCCCGGCGAAGGCGGCTCTTTGGGCCGGAGTGCCCGCAGTCAGGGGAAGGGCTCGCGGACTCGCTGCCGCTATAAAGGTCAGTGTGATCGGGATGCTTGTTTCTCAGCTAAGCACTCCCTTTTTTTAAAGGCGGGGATTAAATGACAAGTTGAAAAGAAAGGGGTCTCCTGTGTGTCTGGGTCCTGGGTGGCCCTGTCTGACTGAGGCTGGCTGAGGACGGACGGCCTTCATCAGCGCGGCCACCCCCCCCCGCCGCCCGTTGGCAGACGTGCGCAGACAGCCTGGGTGCCGAGGCCTGGCCCGGAAGCTGTGCGTCGTCCTCGTGCCGCTGGGGACGGGCAGCTACGGGCCCCCTGGAGCCCAAAGCTGCAAACAAGCTTTGCTGTGCTGCGTGAAGCCGGTCAGAAAACCCATGAAAAACGCTCGTTTCCGGGGTCTGAGGGCTGGCCTCGTCCCCGCTCGCACGGCCAGGCCTGCTGGGCATCCCTGCGGGCAGAAGCAGGCTCACGGGCCCTCGCGCGCTCTTCTTGTAGGGTGGCGCTGCGGCGGCCGAGACTGCTTGCCCAGCCTGCCCTGCAAGTTGTAAGTGAGGCGGGGCACCCTTGTCCCCATTTCACAGCCGGTGACGTGAGGCATGGGGCGCGCTCCAGGCCTCGTAGCCGGGAAGTCGGGCCCGCCGTGCGCCGCGCCCCGGGCCGGCCAGTGATGGCGGCCTCTCTCCCTCCGCAGGCCTGCATCGACGAGAACTTGGACATGGTCAAGTTCCTGGTGGAGAACAGGGCCAGCGTGAACCAGCAGGACAACGAGGGCTGGACGCCCCTGCATGCAGCGGCCTCCTGCGGCTACCTCAACATCGCAGAGTGAGTGCCCTCTGCGCGGAGGCCCGAGTTTGCTGAGCAGCTGCGTCTCTCCAGGGAAAGTGGCGAAAGCAGGACGTCGGCTTCTTTCTAAGGAGTTATCGACACTGTGCTCCTGCTGCTAAGTCCACGGGGTTTGTTGTGGGGGTGCCGATGTCCCTTTCATAACACCTTTCACTCGCCGCCGCCCCCCGCCCCGGAGCAGCAGAGGGCCCTCCCCCATCAGGCGAGTCTGCGGGGACGGGAGGCCGTGGTCTCGGAGGGCAGTGGCCCCTGAGCTCCTGGGTTTCCAAGCCTCTGGGCAGCTGTTTGGATTCTCAGGCGAAGCAAGTGCTATTTCATGAGTCGAATGTTATTCGTGTTCAGGGAAAGTGTGACACCGAAGAGGTTTTCACTTTTTCCCAAGAATGGGTCAGGAAGGCAGCCGTGCCTGGCAGCAGCCAATCCAGAGCACTTTCTAGAAATGAGTCTTCTAGATCACGGGCCTCAAAACAGGTCAAGGGAGGCAAAGGGAGTCTGGGTGCCCCGGCGGCATGAGCCTGACACCCCGTGGGTGGGAGAGGCACGCAGAGGACAGGTGTGTTGTTGAGGCCACGCCCCGGGGGCCGAGAAGCTGGAGAAGCGTCAGGTACACGGCTGTAATGAGAACTTCGATGTGGTCATGTTCCTGGTTCTTCCCAGAGAGCAGGGCCAGCGTGAACCAGCGGGACCATGAGGTGGCCGTGGGGGGGGGGGGTAGACGCCACGGCTGCCACGGGTGGCTTTTGGTGTCTGTCCTGGCAGGTCCAGAGTCACTGGCGGGGCAGGGGGCAGAGGAAGGAGGGAGGAGGCACTTGGTGGGGACGGCTGGGGGCCCCAGGAAGGCGAAGCCCTGTGAATGGGCTCGGGAGGTAGGGAGTCTCTGGAAGGGAGAGGAGGCGGGAGGGCGTCCCAGCCCGTGGTGGGTGCTGCGCGAGCGGCGAAGTCAGTGTGGGCACAGGCGCATCGGGAGCAGCAAGCGGTTCCATCGGAAGCGTTTACTGAGCACCTGCTGGGCACATCAGCAGCACGTTTATTTTCTGGGGAGCAGGAGGGGTGGTGGAGGGTTCCTGGGGGTGAATCGGAGAGGGGCTGCGGGGTGTGGGAGCGTGGGGCCAGCGCAAGGCCGCTGGGCACCGCAGGAGGGGTGCGGGCGGCCGGCCGGCTGGGACCGGGGAGGCCGGGCGTGAGGAGCGAGGCCGCCGGTGCCGCCGGTCTGCACCAGAGGCTCTGGCGCGGCCCTGAGAGCGAGGCACCGTCTCTGTCGCGCCTCTGCCCGTTGCTTCTCCGCTGCCACCGGCTCCTCGGGGGCAGGGCCGTATCTTGTCTTTAAAACCTCCTACAGTATCCAAAACGTAGCACCTGAGACTGTAGGGAACCAGCACACGTTGACTGAGGTGCTGACGGCCTGAACTCTACTTCTGTAGTTTTTCCACTTTAAATACTTCTAAGTGTTGGATAGAGCTCCCAGCGTCACTGGGATTCTCACTGGCTCCAAAGTAACTTGAGCTCGTGAAAAGGTGAACTGGACGCGAAGTCGAGAGACCGGGGCCAGGGCACCCCTGGGCCTTTAAGGAAGCTGCTCCGCACACACGAGCCTCCGTTTCGTGACCTGGCCCTGCTCTGCGTGGAGTCTCAGGCGCTCGCGTGCAGATGCGTCGGAGTGACGGCGGTGCCGTTCTGATCACGTCCGCGCAGGTACTTCCTTAACCATGGAGCCAGCGTGGGCGTCGTCAACAGCGAGGGCGAGGTGCCCTCCGACCTCGCGGAAGAGCCTGCCATGAAGGACCTTCTTCTGGAGCAAGTGAAGAAGCAAGGTAACCCCGAGGGTCAGCCCCGGGGGGGCCCTGCACAGACGGCAGGGAAGCCTGCTGGGCGGGCAGGAGACTCTGGACGCGACCCGTAGTGACCTTCGGTCTCCTGTCCGCCCACCCCTCCAACGGTCGCACCTGCCCGTGGGGTTGGCTGCAGCGGCCGTCCCAGGGGCGGCCTGATGGGAGAGGGCGGCTCTGGCCGCACCCACGTGTCTGCCGATTACCGTCCCTGGCCCTTGGGGAAAACGTGCCGCCCTCTGTGCCGGGGCTTCTCCTGCCCCCGCAGCCCTGGGCCCTTGGTGCGGGTGGCGGCGGGATGCGTCTGTGGCCCTCCTGTGTGCGGGGACGGGGGGGGGGGGGGGGGTGTCTGTTCCCTTCCCCTCCGAGGGTTGAAACGGAAGGGGACTTGGGGACGGCGGCTTCGTACGAAGAGCGCGGCACAGACGCAGCAGCAGCCCCGGGGCTCTGGGCTCCGAGAGCCGACAACGGGCGGGCGGGACCCCAGCGGGCCTGCCACTGCCCGGTGCTGCCCGGCTTCGCCTGGTCCCTGAGCGCCCCTGCCTGGCTCCCGCAGGGGTCGACCTCGAGCAGGCGCGGAAGGAGGAGGAGCAGCAGATGCTGCAGGACTCGCGGCAGTGGCTCAACAGCGGGAGGATCGAGGACGCCCGGCAGGCCCGCTCGGGGGCCACCGCCTTGCACGTGGCTGCTGCCAAGGGCTACTCCGAGGTCCTCAGGTGCGGCAGCCACATGGCTGGTGGGCGGGAGACAGGGACGGGGGAGACAGGCCTCGGGAGCGGGGTGGGCGAGGTGCCCAGCCGGGCTGTGATCCTCCGCGCGGCGTCCTCGGACCACGCAGCCTGTTCTTGCGTTTGCTAGTGTTGCCGGGGGCGGCCCTCTTCTCTGAGGCCACACGGCTGCACGCGGCGCTCGGCCTCGCCAGGCTCCCGGGCGTTGGGCTCTGCTGCGAGGGTCTCCTACCGCGCGGCGGCCGTGCTCACTCGCCCCGGGCCTGCGGGGGGGCCTGCAGCGCGGGCCCCCGGGTTGGCGGCAGTTCCTCGGGAGTCAGCCCCGCAGACGCGCAGGCGCAGCGGGAGGCATGGGGGCCTGCGGTGAGCGTGGGCCGCCCAGAAGGGCCGCCGGGAGCCGGCCAGGGCGTGGCGCTCACATGAGGCGCCCGTCCCGCCTGCCCCAGCAGCAGCGCACAGCACCCAGTCCCGCAGGGCCCGCCCTCGGGCACACCTGGCCTGGCACCTCTGCAGGCCTTCAGCTGTGCCTGGGGGGCCCCATGGGGCCTTCGGGGGGCAGGTCCTTGCGCCGGTGAACGGGGCCTCAGGGGCGGGGCGCCTCGACCCCCATGGCTTTGAGAGAGGACGGCGGCGTCTTCAGCAGGAAGCGGGCAGGACGTAAAGGCCCTGGGGGGCTCTCCTCTCAGGCTGCTGATCCAGGCCGGCTACGACCTGGACGTGCAGGACCACGACGGCTGGACGCCCCTCCACGCCGCAGCGCACTGGGGCGTGAAGGAGGCGTGTTCCATCCTGGCCGAGGCCCTCTGCAACATGGACGCCAGGAACAAGCTGGTGAGCGCGCCGGGACCTCTGCCCCGGGGGCTCGCTGCCCGGGCCCCCTGGACACACCGCACTGCCGCCGCGCGGCTGTCCCTGGGCCCTGTCCGCCACACCAAGGGTTTGCTGTGGGACACAGTGCCCCCGCCCCAGCCTCGGATCCCCTGGCGCTGAAGCCCCTGAACCACCGAGCGGGGCCGTGGCGTTTGCCCCGGCCAGGTGTGCGCTGGGGAGGCCTGATGCACAGGCTGCGCTGAGGCACGGAAGGTTTCTTTCTCCTTCAGTTCTGTTGTTTTCTAACCCCCACCCGCGACTGCTTATTAGTTTTAGGAGGGAAGGGAGGGAGAGAGAGAGGGACAGAAACATCGAGCAGCTCTCTCCTATGCACTCTGACCTGGGACCAAGCCCAAAACCTAGGCGTGTGCCCTGACCCGGAAACAAACCCGTGACCTTTCAGTTTACGGGATGACGCTCCAACCAGCTGTGCCATACTGGCCAGGGCTTTGCTTTATTTGTAAAGACGTTAATTGAGCTCCCTCCATATCCAGTCATTTAAACGTAGAAATGACAAAGATCCTTGAGTTGGTTTGGAATCATGTTACTGTGCTTACTTCCCTAAGTCTGCAGAATCTCTAGGGATTTTCTAGGAGTCCAGAGACATGGCCCTTTGATTAGAGGTGTTGGTGTCTGCCTCCCGCCGCTGCCGAGTGGGCTGCTGGCCCGTGCGGGTGCTCCCCAGCGGAGCCGGCCCTTCCCTCTCCTTCCAGGGGTCGGCTTCGTGACGTGATGTTATGCATGTGTGTTCCTTTGGAGGCTTCTGAGGCCTCCGGTGCATTTATCGTAGCGATGAGGCCGTTTCAGGGCAGGCCCAGGGGAGATGTCACGTGATCTTGGCCACGAGGCAATAAGCAAGCGAACGGCGTGGTCGTTTCCTCAGCGCTGTCTTACAAAACACTGAGTTCCCCGTGCGGATCCGCGGTCTTTCGGTGACGTAGCGTAGAGCCGGCGGCGCTAGGGGAGCTGCTGTGGCTGGAGTCGGGGGCAGGGCGAGTGCCGGCCTGTGCCCTGACAGAGCCACATGGCCACGGCGGCCCCTCTCTCCCCCAGGGCCAGACCCCGTTCGACGTGGCCGACGAGGGCCTTGTGGGACACCTGGAGATGCTGCAGAAGAAGCAGAGCGCGGTGAGTCCATGGGGCTGTCCTGCCGTCTCAGCCCCCAGGGCCGCTCGGCCTTGGGCTGCAGCTGCGTCCTCCTCGGGCGGAGCGGTGACCCCCTTCGGGGACGGTCAGCGGCCGGAGGAGGGCAGGGGAGTCCCAGGAGCCGTGGTTGTGACAGCTCGTTGTGCGCCAGCTTTCGAGCAGCTGAATGTTAAAAACAACCAAGAAGCAGTGCCCTTGGCTCTAGAAGGTGGAGGTGGCTGTCCAGACCAGCGTCCTCCCCGCCTGGTGTCGGCCGGGGGCTCCTCGGGAGGCCGGGGCCCTTGGCAGGTCTCCTGTCTGCTGATTGCTGCCGACCGTCTTGTTCTCCAGCTTCGAAGTGAAAAGGAGACGCGGAATAAGCTCATTGAGTCGGACCTGAGCAGCAGGTTGCAGAGTGGACTCTTTGAGAAGTAAGACGCCGGGGCGCGTGCATGTGACCCACTTAGCACGAGGCTTTATGTGATAAAAAAACTTGTTTTAGCCAAATGATCTTTAGATGTGTTGGAACCTTTGAGGGCAGGGAGGGGCGTTGATACGGGGCGGGGGACTCGGAGTGTGGGTGGGTGGGTGGGTTTGGAGTTTAGGGATGAATCGACATTTTGCCGCTCTTTCATTCCCTGGCTTTAGGGGTCCTGAGTCCCAGCTGCCCCCCCCAGCAGACCACTGCCCCCAGGCCAGCAGGACCCCAGCGGGTCAAAGCACTCAGTAAACGTTGAGTGATTTGTGTTTACCTGCTCCGTCAGCACCAAGAGTCACGGCCCCCTTCGGCCGGTAGTGAACAGGCTGGAGCTACTGGAGTCACACTCTGCACTCGGACAGCAACGCTTAGTCTGTGGAAGCAGAGACGTGAGGGGTCGCAGATGTGGGGCAGGGTTTGAATACATTTCTGCTGTCACTGCGGCCCAGGGGTACAGATGTGTTCTCCCTGCACTGGAGAAGCATCGGTCAGTTCCCAGTTACACTCACACTGTGCCCTTTAATTTAGCAAGGAGAAGATGCTTTACGAGGAGGAGACGCCCAAGTCCTGTGACCTGGAGGAGGAGAACAAGGAATCCAGCAGCTCCAGCTCAGAGGAGGAGGGCGAAGACGAAGCGTCCGAGTCCGAGGCCGAGAAGGAGGCAGGTAATGCGGGCCTCCCGCACGGGCCCTGTGTTTCCTGGCGCTTGGTGCCCCGTCCGCCGGGCAGCCAGAGGCCACCGTGGGCCAGAGCACACACTGGGTTCCGTCTCCAGAGAACTCGGTGCTAGAGCTCTGAACTGGGTTAGAGCAGTTGTCCTGTAGCCGCAGGACAACGGGCACACAGAGGTCCTGTGTGAGGGGCGCCCATTCCGGCCTCGGGTCCACAGGTCTCGCCAGGGCGCCCTTGGGCGGCGCCTGCGGTGGCCCCCAGCTGGCGGACCGGCAGAGGGGCGCGGGGCGTGCATTCGCGGTGGCGTCTGTCCTCTGGGCCTGGTCTTGGGGGGGCCTGAGAGGGAGGCGTCAGCCCCTCTGTTATTTGGGCCCAGCTCCTCCGAGGCCCGACTTTGCTGCCCGGCCTCTCTGCATGGAGAGCGCATACCGCCCTCCCCCGCTTCCCCACAGGTGGGCCCACGGCCTCGCCTGCGGAGGCGAGGGGCCCGCGGCTCCAGCAGGGGCGTGGGTGGCCAACCCCCCCCCCCCCCGGCCCACCCCCCGTTCACTTGAGCTCCTGCTCGGCAGGCACAGCTCGCTGTGAAGATGCTAGTGCAGCGCCTCTCTGCTCACGGGCGTCTGCCTGGTTCAGTGTTTACCTGCGTGTTGAGTGGGTGTGAGGCTCAGGCTTTGGGGACTGTCTGGAGTGAGCGTCCAGGCTACTCTGTAGCTGCCACAGGAGCAGAGCGGCGGCAGAGGGGCCGCCTACGCTACTGTAATAGCCGCGATGGGCGCTGCAGCCTGACGTCCCTTGTGCCCCGCCCCTGCCGCCTCTGGTTATGCCGCGGCCCTGTGCCGAGCCCTGGGACCTCCGTCCCCACTTCGCCCGCCTGCAGCGCAGACCTTCGGCCTCCTCCGGCGGGCCCTCCCGGCCCGGCGCTGTCCACCGTAAGGACTGGCTGCGGCCACCGGAGGGAATCCCCGCGTGCCGCAGGACAAGGGGCACTGAAGAGCTGCTACCCAATGCGTAACGTGGAGGACGCTGTCGGTGACGGGTGGGAGCGGGCGCCGGAGCCCACCGAGAGGGCGCAGCTCTGAGCTGCTGCTGGCCGCGCTCGCCAGAGGCTCCACCCGCTGGCGGTCCAGCGCACAGCCCCACTGTCTGGGGAGGGGCAGACCGCCATGTCCGCGGAGGGTGTGCGCGCGCGGAGCAGGCGTCTCACCTCTGCTCCTGGGCCCCCGTGTCTCGATAACAACAGATCGAAGGCCAGAGGCCGTGGCCAACCACCCCAGCTCGGAAGGGAAGGGCAGCGCCACGGACCCCGTCCCAGCACCAGCGCAGGACACCTCTGCCCCCTCAGCCCTGAAGGTGAGCGTGTGGGATTCATTTGGACGTTGTGTTTCCTTGGCTGCAGCAACAGGCCTTAGGAAGGCCTTAAGGATACATTTCTGCCTGTTTTAGTCTGCGCAGGCCGTCCTAACAAAACATCACTGACAGGTGCCTTTAAGCAGTGGAAGTGATTTCTCAGTTCAGGAGGCAGGAAGTCCAAGTTCAGAGGGCCCGCAGGTTCAGTTCCTGGCAAGGGCTCCATTTCTGGCTCAAAGACGACCCTCGTCTCCAAACATAGTCACATTGGGGCTTAGGGCTGCAACACACAGATTTGGGAGTGGGAGGGGCCTAAACAGTGCATCCGTGATAACACGGTTTGGATGACACGGTGTCAGGGCAGCCGTGCCGAGAGTCTGAGGCTGGCGGGCAAAGGCGCCTTGGGCGCGTGGCCTCGCTGGGCTGCCGTGTGCAGAGGCGGGCGGGCTACACGGAGGCATCGCGCCCCTTCCCTTCCCTCTCCTTCCCTTCCCTTTGCTCCCCTCCCCTCCCCTCCCCTCCCCTCCCCTCCCCTTCCCTTCCCTTTCCTTTCCTTCTGTCGCCTGCTCCCCGTAGCTCTCCAGCCTTCTTAACAAGCTGGAGGAGCCCAGGGACGAGTCTCCTTCCTCGTGGCGCCTGGGGCTCAGGAAGACTGGCAGCCACAACACGCTGAGCATGGCGGCCGACACCAGGGAGGCCGCGAGGGCCCGGGGCGCCGCCCTCTCCCGCTCGGCGTCCAGCCCGCGCATCTCCGCTCTCCTGGACGGCAGAGACCAGGTACGGGGCCCTGGCGGCATCCTCCTGGGAAGCTCCCCAGCGCCGGAGCGCAGGCGTTGCCTGGGCCGAGGGGCCTCCGAGGGGCGAGCACGCGGGCAGTTTGGTCAGGGAGGCATCTGCGTGCTCCCGTTTGCTTGGCCCAAGGAGCCCCTTTGCCTTTTCTCTGAGCCCTTGTTCATTCCCTGCCCCCTTTACCAAGCGCAAGAAGGGGGTCAGAAGCGCGACCGCTTGGTTGCAGCCCCAGAGGCTCCTGAACCTACGCCAGGCGTTTATCCTTCCGGCGTCGGGAAGCCGAGCCCCCAGCTGGGCTCGCCACGTGGCCGAGACGCAGGCAGGGCCGCCCTGAGCAAGAGCTGCAGCCCCCCCGCCTCGTTTCTGGGTGGGGGAGGGGGCGGGGGCCGGCTCCACGAGCCCCGCTGGCTCGCTGCCCAGATCGGAGGTCTCCCGCGGGCCCACCCGGTGCCGCTCAGGCTGGGGAGTGGCAGGCGGCCCTGTCTGTCTCGGCGGCTGCACCTGTGGGCCCTCCCGGCTTTTCCCAGGGGAGTCGTCGTCCTGCGTGTTAGCGTCTCGTGGAGGAAACTCAGGAGTGAGCCCCGGAGGGCCAAGCCTTCGCTCCGCGCCCTCCCGCTGCGATCGGGGTTGGGCTGGAGAGGAGGTCAGGCGGCTGCGCCGAGGCTGCTGCTCGCCCCGAGTGTGTGGGTACGGCCCGGGCCTCAGCTCTCTGCGTTTTGCAGGCAAAAGAAGGCAGAAGCGGCCTCAGCTCCCTGGGGCCCCGGAAGCTCAGCAGCACCAGTGACGCTGAGGAGAAGGAGAACAGGTAACCGGCGAGGCCCCTCCCGGTGGGCGTGTCCTGGGAGGCTGCTGGGCTTCTGATTGGTCAGTAGATAAAATTTCAGTCCCCCCCCTTTCAGGGGAGGCACCCCTGCCCCTCACAGCGGAGCCCAGCTGTGCCCCGGCTTTTGGAGCAGCCCTGCTGGGCACCTGGGGCTCTGCCGGCACGGGGGTCGGGGGGGGGGGCTCTCGGGCCCCACCCAGACCTGCTGGACTGTGGTAGCCCTCCAGAAACACCCGCGGTGACCAGGCACCCCTGTGAGTCTGAAGAGGACCTCCCTGGAGGCGCCATCTAGTAGCGAAGGCCTCAGAAACGCCCCCCCCCCCCCCCCCAGCCCTTTCCTGGGCTCCTCTGGTTTGCGAGGCGAACGAGGCCACAGAAGGTCCTTCTGGTTCCTCCCCCCTGCGACCTCTTTCTGCTGTGCCCACCGTCCCTCTTCTGCCCCCTGCTGGGGTCGGGTTTGCAGAGCTTTGACCGAGGAGCAGGAGGGACTTCTTGTTACGAAGGGTCTGAGATCTTGCACGGGGACGTGGTGCCTGTTGCGATGAGTCGGCTCTGAGGTGGATGCAGGGAGGCGGGCGCAGGCCTCTGCCCAGCCTCCACCCGCAGGGCGAACAGGGGCGCCCAGCCGTGGGCGCGGAGCCCGCCCGCCCCGCCCAGCCCCACGGGCCGGCCTCCCCGGCGCCCCCCGCACTCTGCGTGTGTCGTGGGCACCAGCTTCTGGTCGGGGTCAGTGTGCAGCTTGGCTTTCCTTCCTGCTTCAGAGAATCGGCTGCCAACCTGGTGAGGAGCGGCTCCTACACCCGGCAGCTGCGGAGGGAGGAGGCGAAGGGCGCCGAGCTGCCGCAGACGACCGCACCTTCCACCTACGTGTCGACCTACCTAAAGAGGTACGGGCTCCGCGGGCGGGAGCGATCGCCCCTCCGGCCCCCGGCGCCGGCCCTGACAGCACGCCCTGCGCAGCCAGCGAGCACCACAAACGGGAGTCAGGACACGAAGTGCTTTCAGACTTGGGGGGCGTAGCAGTTGACGAATCTGTTGTTGAAATGAGTCAGTTCTCTTAACTGAGTTAAAGTCAGCTGGTTGCACAATCGCACCGCGGACAGGCCTGCACTCACGCCCGCAGTCCCGTTGAGCGGCCCCACGGACGTGCCCCCGGGGACTCTGAGCAGCCCCGCAGCTCGTGGCTGAGATGGCCCCGCTGTCGTCTCAGGCTGTGTGGAGGGAGGGAGGGGCCCTGCAGGGTGGCCAGGGGTGGGAAGGGGGCGGTTTGGGTCTCACTGAAGAAGTTCCATGGTGAAGCCTGTTAATTTAGGGACTTCAGTTTGCTTGTTTTTTTTTATGACTTTAACGGCCCTCAGATCCATCAAGATGTGAAACTCGCAAGTGTGGTGCAGAGAAGGTACATGGGTCTCCCTTCCTTTCCTCACCTGTACCCTCTTCCGCAGTTTCTCTCTCTGCCGCGTGCCAGCCAGCAAGCACGGCGCCTCTGCCAGAGCCGCTCAGCTCTGCGACGTTCTTAGTTAGCTCTTTACTGCGACCTCTGCTGCAGGGGGGGCGGGGGGCGGGTCGGGGCCTGACCCTCTCCGCTCACTCTGAATTCGCGCCTCTCCCCACCCCCCCTCCGGCTGCCTCTTGGCACTGTGGCCCTCGGCGGGAGGGGTTCCGGGGGAGGGGCGGCCCCTAGAAGCAGAAGCAGCGTTGACCTTAGGCTGTGCCTGGGATCAAACTCGTTCCACTTGTCAGGAAGAGCCTTGTCTGCTAGTCGATGTCGGAACATGGGAGCTGTGAGACCAACAGCTGCCGCTGCTGGGCAGCGGCCTCCGTCCGGTGGAGACCCCGTGGGAGGGGCTGGCCCGCGCCCAGGCTCTGGGCTCCCGGGCTCCCGGCAGCTTTCGCACAGGCTCCGCGCGTTCGGCTTCCTGAGACCGACCCCTGCGGCCTCTGAGGCTGCGGCTTCTGTCTAGCTAGGTTTGGCCTTGCTGCCCACAGCAGGGCCTGAGCCTTTTCTGAGAAAGCGGTGCTGTAGGTACAGAAAGGGAGGCAGCGGCCGCGAAGAGCCTCGCAGGCCGGTCCTCTGTGGGGTGCTGGGCTCTGGCCGTGGGAGCCGCGCGGGCTCCGGTCCCTGCGGTTTGGTCCGAGCCCCTGGGCGTAGCGGCCCTGGTGCGTGGAGCAGGAGCAAGGGCCGCCTCGGGGCCATGAGGCGGGCTCTTGACGTGGGCGCTTTTTAAGGAAAAAAGAGAGAACATGCGTCCTCTGTGGGCTTACTGCAGCTCTTTGCAACCCTGAAGCCTTTTTTGGTTTTACAAAATCTTAGGACCTTTCCAGCAGCACAGGCTCTCGTGCCGTCACTGGGCGAAGAGCGTGTGGGAGCAGGCGCCGGCCGCCCCGCCGAGCGCACCAGGCACACCCTTTGGGTTCCGGTCAGCTCTGCTCTTTGGACAGAAAGTCCTGGTTTACGGCCCAAGAAGCGTCTTTTCCAAAGGAGGTTTTTCTGGTCACCCCTCCAGGTGTCTCACTGCTGTCGTAGTCAGGAATAGTTGCTGAGAGACCTGAACCCACAGAACGGTCTGCACTGAGACCATCCGTACTCAGCTGACACAGGGAAGCTGTGCTGCATCCCCCACATGGGTGGCTTTCTGGGCTCAGAAAGTCTAAGTCCCCCCGAAGGCCCTCTGTCTGCAGAGCTTCCTGACTCTCGCCCGCTCCTCCGTCTTGACTCTCGGCTGCCGCCTCTGCAGCTCTGACGCGGCCTCGCGGAGCTGCTCTGTAGCGGCGGACACGTGGCGGGGGGAGGGGGGTGCATGACCTTTTGCCTCAGTGGGTTGGGAATTGGTTTTTCTAACAAATTTCCTGTTGTTTCCCTTTCTTGGCCGCACCCACCATGTGCTCCCTCTGGTTGCCTGTGACCTGTCTTCCTGCTGCCTCCCTCCTCAGGGGACGGGCAGGCACCTGCTTGCTGCCAGCGGCCAGCTCCAGCGGGCCCCTCCTCTTCCGGTGCCCGCCTCCTGTCCTGCATTCCTTGCGGTGCCGCGCAGGGGGCAGGAGGTGCCGGGCCGTGGAGGGCGGGCAGCCTGTCCGGAGGAACGCGATGTGTGTGTCTTTCAGTGCTTCCTTTGGTAGCAGTAGTGGCCCCACGCGTCCCTCCATTTCAGCCAATCGCAGTTCGTCGGCTGCCTCGCCCGCTGCCATGGCTCCTCCACCTGCCGGGCAGCAGGTGGCAGCCTGCCTCTGCTTGCCCTGCGCCGCACGGCAGGTAAGGCCTCTCAGAGCCGCCGCGGCTGACGCCTCGACGCTCCTGGCGTGGGCTGGAGCAGCTGCGGCGCTGTGGGCGCACAAGCCCTGCGCGCGCCCGCCGCTCCGTGACGTCGCCCGCCGGCCGCTGCCGCGGCCGCTGCCTGTGGGACTGTCCTCGCTGTGTGCTCTGTGCTTGGGGGCCGGCCCCGTGGACCGGCACCCGCCCCTCCGTCCCCCTGCCGGTCGTGGCCGCTGTGGTGAACCACACAGCAGAGCTGCCCTTGCGCTTTGGAAGGTGGCACGTGAGCCAGACCAGAAGGAAAGCCGACTCTTGTCCTGAGAGTCCCCCCCGCCTCTCGAAGGGCCCCGGCCGAGGAGCATTTTGCTGGAACCGCGCAGGAAGGACGAGATGTGTCAGATGTGTTGGTCGGATCCCTGGGCCTGCGCCGTGCCTGCCTGGACTCTGGGTCGTTGGGGGCCGGGGGCAGGGGCGGACAGTGTCGCTGCGAACGCACAGAGGGCTTGGCTGTGCCTTTAACGGGCTCAGGGCCCTGCGTGTGGCCAGACACCTCTTTCCTTTCGGGTGTGGGCCACGGGGCTCCTTCCTGGGGTTTTGTTTGGACACGAGGGAAACGGGAACACTGGTGACAGTGCTGCCATCGCAGGGACACGCTGGTGGCAGCTCTCGATGGGTGGCTCTCACCAGCTTCCCCCACGGCAGCGAGTGGGGCCGTCGGTGTGGCCGGCGGGGGGAGGCTTTCGACGGACGACCTGCAGCAGCCTGTGTAACAACGCAGCGCGGGCGCGTGCACGTCCTTCCCGCTGAGGAGACGCCGGGCCTCCAAGCGGCCGCTCGGTCCGCCGCCTCCGCCAAGCGTGCTGTGCGCAGGCGTTGGGTCGGGCGCCGCACGGGCCACGTGGGCACCCGCTGCGCTCCCAGAATAGGAAATCCAGGCGACAGTGGCTGGCGTGCGGCGGCGGTGTTTTCCCTAGAGAAGCCCAGAAACAAGGGGGCTGGCGCGCGGCCCTGGAGTCACTGAGAGATCGAGGTCCCTCCTCTTCACTTTGTGACCCTTAGGTCACGGCTTCCGTGGCCGTTGGTGGCCTCGTGATCCAAAGTAGCTGCCAGCTCTCCAGCCATCATGGCTGGTTTCTAGACAGGAAGGAGAAAGAAATGGGGGCACGTGCAACCAAGGAGGGCCCTGAGGGTTTTCCCCCGGACACTCGGCGTTTGCTTGCGTGTCACTGGTGACCTCTGTCCGCCGCGGGGACTGGAGAACGTGGGTTTCCTGCCAGGCACCCTGCTGCCCTCAATGACACATGGGTTCTGTTAGTGAGGAAGGAAAGGGACTGAGCGCGGGTCGGGCAGCCAGCCGCCTGCGGCACCCACGCCAGCACAGGCTCCTCAGCGTGTGGGGTGCTGCTCGCGTTTCACGGGGGCGGTGGGGGCCGGGGTCACGCGGTCGTGGGCGCCAAGGCAGGACGGGGCCGAGGTCGTCCGTTTTGGAGCCCCTGGCCAGCGCCCCCTTTTGCCCCCCCTGGGTTTTTACTGTGGGCCGTGCAGTGAGTGTTTTGCACCTGTCGTTTTATGGCATCGTCACAAGACTCCTGCATTTTAGGGCGCCGTTACTGCCGTTTTACTTATTTTTATACATACTTTTTATCTGCACCTGAGGACGTTTTCTCCATCGCTTTTAGTGAGAGAGAGAAGGAAGGAGGGAGAGAAACAGGGACCAGTGGCCTTCTCGTATGCGCCCCGATGGGAACCAGACCTACAGCCTTTCAGTCCACGGGACGATACCCCCGCCAGGGCCCTTTGTCCCCACAGCACGGATGACGGTCAGAGGCAAAGTCGGCCGACAGTCAGCACCCAGTCGCCCAAAGCCTCCGACCCTCGCTCCGGAGCGCCGCCTCACACTCCTGGTCGACGCGCCACGTCCCGCCGCGTAGCCCGGGGAGAGCCCGGCCGCCGGCAGATCGCACCGCGCCAGCCCGAGCAGGGCCTCGGGGACCGTGCGGGGCGGCGTGATTTCCTGCGGCTCTGTGTCCGGCTGCTTTTATTGGCGCCTCCTGCAGACGTCCTGAAGTCTGAGGAATTATTGCCTCCTTTTTTTAATTAGAAAGTGAACGCGAGTTTGGCCTTGTGGTCTTTTGATCCCACTTCACAGCTGCTCCGTCCCTGTGTTTGTGTCGGGCGCCGCATTCAGACTTTCGGGAGCTGACGGTTGGTTTCGAGCTCGTTACCTGATGATGTAGTTCTTTGAAAGCGAGCCTACAGTTACTTAGAAGCATTTTTGGTCCTTGTGAGGAGGAGGGAAAAACCTGCCTTTTAAGCATCGTGACGGCCACGCTTGTCCCACTTGGTGGAGGTCCGTGGTGGATGTGGCATCCCAGCAACAAGCTGCGGCCTCGGCTGTGAGCACTTCTGGGGGGCGGGCCGGCGGCCAGCCCCGCCCTTTGCTGAGGAACCAGGGTTTGTCTTCTGTGCGAGTGGCTACGAATTGTCACAGGCCCTGCGGCTGGGGAGCCCCTGCCGAGGCTGTGCGTGCAGCCCTGTTAGTTTTGTTCCAAGTCTGCAGGACAGCCAGGTGCTAAGAGGGAGGAGGCCGCTGCTGGGGGCGCGGGGGCCCCCGTCCCAGGCTCGCGGCTTGGCAGGCGCCTCCGCACAGTCCAAGGGGCCGGTCACCACCCGGCCCAGCACGGCCACAGCCTCCCTGCCAAGGCTCTGGGGGGCGCGGGGACGTGCGGGCGACTCGGCTCGTTCTCGCCGTGGGGCGCCTGGCCCCACGGGCGCGTGTGCAGCCAGGTGGCGCGCGGGAGCCTGAAAGCTGTCCAGCAGGTGCCTCTCGCTGGCCTGGTGCCTTAGCTAATCTTTGGGGTTTTTTTTTTTAATTTTACGCTCAAGCAGAAAAGTTTCCGTGAAACGTCGCTCCTCGGGCAGAGGACGGCGGGCGGGACATGTGACCGCGCTGCGGCGTCGAGACTCAGGAGCTCAGAAGTTAGAAAGCCTGCGCGAGGAGACGCCCTCGCGGGCCTGCGTCGGCCCCGTCTGTGCTTGGCGGGGCCGGGCCTGACCGCCCTCCCCCCGCTGTGTCCTTTCTGATCGCAGGGTCCCTCACAAGGCCCCGGGCGACGCCCCCGCGGAGAGGACGGACGCCGTCTCGCCGAGCACCCCTCTGTGCGTGATCACCAACCGCCCCCTGCCCAGCGCTGCCAACGGGGTCCCAGCTGCCACTCTGCTGGCCGCGCCCGGCACGGACTCCTCTGTGGGAGCCAGGGACAGACGGAGGTGTGTGACTGCTGCTTTCGCTGGTGGGGAGCCGCGAGGTGGGGGTGGGGGCAGCGGGAGGCCTTTCCCCGCCTCAGAGGCGTTTGTGATGGGAGCGCGGGTCTGTCTCTCACAGTGCGGGCTGTGGGTTTTGCCTCGGGGAGGCTCCGGCGGAGGTCTCCGGGACCTCTTGTTATTGACGGGGGGCGCCTGCTCTGTCGTGGAGACAGGCTGTCTTCTGTCTGGGCGTCCGACGCGGGCATCGTCGCGCATGCCCCCACTGCGGGGTGGGGGCCCGGACGCAGAGAAGGGCCGTCCGCGGTGACAGCCGCGAGGAGCGGCCGCAGTGAAACACGGAAGGACCAGAGAGGCCAGCAGGGTCTGAAGTTCTCGGCAACGCGAGAAGGGTCCCAGGAGAGGGGGTGACGGCTGTGGTGGCCTGGGGGCAGGACAGTGGCGGCGCGCACGTCGTGGTGGCGAGACCCGTGACGCCTCTGACTTGGAGGGACGTGGGCACGGGAGAGGTCACCGGGGGAAGCGGAGGGGGGCTCCTCGGTGTGGGGCTCCGAGGCCTTGGGAGCGGCGGCGGCGGCGAAGGGGCCGGACTCGCCCGGGCGGAGCCGGTGGGCGCCCCCTCGGCCGTGCCCCCTCCTGGGGGAGGAAGCGCACTCTTGCCTCCGCAGAGCGCGCGGCTGGGTGTCATTCAACTGAGGATGCGCAGAGGAAGGGCTTACTCTGTGTGTGTTTACGCGTAGCAAGTCAGAGAACCGTACCTACAGGGCACGAGCTGATGCTTTTAGATGTTTATTATAAAGACGTCTCTAAAACTCCCTTGTGAGAAGAAATGGGAGGGAGGTGTTGAGTTGAAAACAATGTTTTCTCCTTCTTTTCCTTTTTTCCTTTTTTTCATTTCTTTACATAAAAATTGAAGAAATTCCACTTCCGGGCTAGCGGCCTGTAGGGCCAGCAGCTGTGACCTTCCATGTGGCGTCCAGCTGGGAAGCCTCACTAAGCCCGTCTCAGGCGTTCGGAGCTTACGGAGGCACCCGCGCCGGCGTCACTTTGATTTCATCTGGAAACTAAGAGCAGGCTTTCATCAGCTGAAAAAATCCCCTTGAAAAAGTTCTCCTGAGGGAACAGGTGACGCGAGCTGAGCCGCCCCCTCCGATCAGGATCCCTGAAAGCGCGCGGCTCGGGCTGTGCCCCGCGGCGTTACGGGTGCTTCGTTGCCTGCACCGCTCTTTAGAGAAACCTCACAAGACGGTTATTGTCTCTTGGGCATTTTGTAACCTGTGTCCCAGGAGGTGGCCGGTGCTGTGCACGTTTTCCTCAGGCCACAGGTGCCGGCTGAGCACCTGCCGCGCCCTCCCCCCGCGCCCCCCACCTGACCGCTTCTCAGAGGAGCAGCCCCTGGAGGGCGGGCGTGTCGTGATGCCAACGTGGTTTCTGGGGCAGAGGCACTGCAGGGCGACTGGGAGGCTTTAGATTTTACGAGATGATAACCAGTATTGATTAGGTCACAAGTAGGAGACGGCACAAGGCTAGCAAACGGGGGACGTGCGACGGGGTCGCCGGGCTGCGCGGGCCCCACCCGCTGCGGCCGAGCTCGGGCACGCCCAGGGACACCGTGGTGGTGGGGAGAACCGGCCCCTCCTGGGAACCAGGGCACAGAGTCCCGAGATCATGATGCTGAAATTGGCACCAAGGAGGGGACAGGACAAGCACCCGGGCAGAGAGTGCTAGAAAAGACACGGCGGGGGGAGGGGGCGGACGGAAGTTACCGCCGGGAGCGTAGAGGGCTGGGGCGGGGGCGGAGGGCAGAAGGCAGAGGAGCCGGGCCGCCTGTCAGCCGAGGTCCTCGGAACGGTCGGGGGAGTTGCCTGTGGCAGCGCACGGAGACGTGACCCTTGGCGTGTCACCTGCCATCTGAGTGCACGGGCCAGCGTGCTCAGTGTGCTCAGCTGCGCGGCCACCCCCATGGGCCGTCCTGGCCCGTGTCTGTTCTCGGGAGAAACCCCAGGCCTGGGCTGTCACCGCGCCCCCTACCGGCCCGGGCCATGCAGGGCAGAGGGGCGGCGGCCACATGTCTCTCCAACGTGGCTCCAGAGGCTGGTGCTGTGGAGGGAACACAGGAAACTCAAGGGGCGAGACCCGTGTCCCCGAGCCCGTGTGACGCCGGCCTCGATGAAGGAAACGGCGTCCGTGGCCGCGGGAACCCGTGCGAGTCGGTGAAGTGAAGGTGGATGGGATGCGGGGAGCCGCCGGGGGGGTTCCTTGCGGGGCGGAACGTGGGGGTGCAGGAGGGCGGGCTCCACAGCGTTGTCCATGTTCCTGTGTCCACGGAGCAGCCTGGTGCCTTTTTCGCAGACACGAGGACCGGGGTTCCGGGGGAGACACTGAGGCTCGGAGCCTGGGGGTAGGCAGGAAGCTGACCGTGGACTTGGTGGACTTGGTGCTCTGCCCGGGAACTTGAGCTCTGTTCTCCCAGCCCCGGGGCAAGTCGCTGGGACCGAGTTCATCAGATAAAGCATCAGATAAAGCCTATCATTTACAATTAAAGCCATTTAGATTCTTTCTCCAGACAAACATAGGCTGAAAGAAAAAAATCACAGGCTTTGAAAACAGCTAAATGAGCCCCAGCTAAAAGAGCCTGCTGGGTGCAAATTGTCTTCGGGGAGAAGCCGCTCTCCATGGGGCCTCCGTGAAGGGGCTGGGGGCAGCGTCCCCGTCGCTGGAGGCTGTTGGTGACCATCGGGGTCCGTGGGGCCCCAGCACGAGGACCTGCCGCCCAGCGGCCCGCTCTGCCAGTGCAACGGGAGCACGGGACTGGGGGCCCCGCGCGGCCGCCTTCCCCCGCCGGGACGCGCACACACCCAGCGGCCAGCACCCGGCCTGCACCCCACGCCCCGATCTTCACTCGGGTGTCGCCTGCGGCCGTGCGGTGGCAGGGGCGGAGCAGGTGCGAGAGGACGCTCAGGACCCCCAGCTGCAGGCTGGGGCTGTGGGCGGGACCGTTCTGCGGGTTGCGGGCGGTTTGCTTTCCTGCACCTTCCTGAGTTCCAGAATGATCACGTGTTACCATTGTCCTGGGGGCCGGGGGCAGGGGCAGAAGAGGTCAGGAAGCGGCAGCTCCTTGGACGACTCCCGTGAGGGCCTCTGGGAGGCTGCCCCCAGCCCTGCAGGGAGGACAGAGGGGAGAGCGGGGGCTGCAGCGCTGTGGGTGAGCCGCGGTTTCGCCCCGTCGGCCGGGGCGGGGCTTCCGAGACAGCCCCCTCTCTGTGGAGGGCACCGCCTTGGGTTTTCCACGTTCCCCTTCTTTACCCTGAAAAGCTCGAGTGTGTGCATTGCGTCCTCGTGGCACGGGCGGGGACAGGAGCCAGGCCCGTGCGGGGTGGGGACGGGATGCGAGGCCTGTGAGCGCTGCGTGTTTGGCCGCCGGCCGCCCTGCCCGTGGCCGGAGGCATGTGGGCGCGGGGCGGGGGGCGCTCACACACCCGCTTCCTGGAGAGGGAGAACGCAGGCTTGTGTGGGGCAGCCCAGACTGTGGTGGTCCGGGCTCCAGGCCCCCAGATCAGCACGGTGCCGCCGTGTGGCACCCGGGACGGGCAGGCTCGGCTGACGGAGGGGCCGGGGGGGGGGGGGGCGGGGAGACCAGGCCTCCAGAGCGCGGAGTTGACCTTGGCAGCCAGTGTCCGCAGCCCCCGCGGCTAACGTCAGCGCCTGAGGGGGCCTGGCCCTCCCTCTGCGGGCGGCCCCCGCTGGCCCACCCGGCCCTGGAGCCACGTGGTCCTTCTCACGGGCGCCCTTCCTTCCTCTGCGGAGGCGGCCACCACAGCGTCTCAGCACAAGTTGCTGCCAGTGGCTCTTCTTCCCCGACCGCCCGCGTGCGCCTCCGCTTTGCTGGGCCGGGATTCGGTCCGTCCTGGCTGAGTCCCGGGGGTCCCCATGAGCCGGGGGCTATTCCTGCCCGGGTGACGCTGTCCACAAGTTACCTTGGCCTCGTCCTTGGAAGGTTGGAAATTTAAACCGAGCAATTAAACCCTGAGTCATGGGTTTTAAAAGTCACTTGACTCATCTGTCTGTGAGCTAAAGACAGGAGTTGCCGGTTCACGGAGGACTCCAGAGGAGAGGCAGCCCCTGCCTCTGCCGGTGTTTGTTGTGCAGCGAGCACCCCCCCGCCCCACCCCGCCCCAAAAGGCTGCAGCCCCGCTGGGCTTGCCCACCAGGCTCCTGCCGGCCACAGAGACCGAGCAGGAGCACCGTGCTGCGTCCCAGCCTGCCAGGCTCTGGCTGCGCGTGGGGCGAGGATGGACGGTCCGTGGGGTCCCTGCTGGTCAGTGAGGTCGCACCGCCCGCCCTGGTGCTGGGTCTCGGGGACGTTCCCCACACGCCAAGTCCGCGAGGCAGCGAGCCGCCAGCCCTTTCTGCACCTGCGCGAGTGTGGTCGCGCTGCCGCTGCCGCTGCCGCTGCCGGAACAAAGCGTGGCCACCCCACTCCCCTGAGCCTGAGAGGTCCCGCCCGCTGCCGCAGCGTTAGTGGTGAAGGGAGGCAAGAGGCCCGTGGGCGGGGCTGCGGCGGGAGCCGGCGACGGCGCCGCTGCCGGCCGGGTCTGAAGAGGGGGGCGGACGCGCTGCCCCTGGGGCTCCCCCAGGGCGTGGCACGCCTTCACCTTGGTTGCGCGGGCAATCGTGGGACTGCGCACACCCCAGGGGGCCGCTGAACGGCACGCTCACGTGCCCGCGAGTTCGGTCGCGCGAGGGGCGGCAGGGAGGCCAGGGCGAGGCCCGAGCAGCCAGGCGTCGGTCTCAAGTGAGCGCCTGACCTCGGGCTCCCCGCGCTGAGCCCGGCTGCCTTGGCACCAGCTCACTCCGTCTCCTCTGTCATGTGATCCTCACACACCAGCTCCCACTCAGGAGTGTGGGCCTGGAGATGTCCCCTCCCCATACAACACAGGCCGTGGAGCCTGAGGCTCCGTCCTGCTCCCAGCACCTCAGAGCGAACCAGCAGTCCCCTGGCACCTGCCCCACTTGCTACCCAGGGCCTTTATCGGCTGCTGTTCACGGTCACTCCCCTCCTGGTGAGGCCCTTTCTTCAGAGCTGGGAGTGTCAGTGACGCGGAAACCCTGTGACCTCGTTCGGCCCTGCTCCCTCTTCTCCCAGCTGCGTTTCCGACGCTGGGACGAGACGGCTGCGTGCCACCGTCCCACGAAGCGAGCTCTCGCGCTGCTGGGGAAGGGCAGGCAGGTGGCCGCCCGGTTGCTGGACACCGGGCTTCTGGGCAGGCTGCCGCCTCGTGTGTCTGGCCTAGCATGACCGCCAGCTGGAGTGGCTCGCTGTGGCCATGAGTGGCCTCCCCTGCCCTCCCCAGTGGTTTGGGCACCTGAGGCCCAGGAGGCTGGTCTCCGTGCCCCGGGGAGGAGCTGGCACGGCTCCTGGGGCCGCGCACGAGCGGCCGTGGCAGGGCTCAAGCCTCCAGGCCGAGGGGCCGTCCCTGTGGGGCCCCGTCCCTGCGGGGCCCCGTCCCTGCGGCCGTTCGGGCAGTGGGCGGGCTGCACGCGTGCGGTCATGGAGAGTGCGGGGTGGCAGCGAGGCCGCAGGCCAGCACGGCAGCCGGGAGCCTCTCGGCGCCTCTTCCTGCTCCCGGTGAGTCGGAGCCTGTGCCCGGGCCCAGGCCCCCACCCAGGCGGTCACGGTGACAGGACGAGGACAGGTGGAGCGGCCCCTCCAAGGGGGAGACCGGGCTGCGGGGCTGCGCACGGCGCGGCTGTCGTCGCTCCTACTCCGCGCCGTGCGCGCGCCCGGTCGGGCGGCAGAGCAGTGTGGGCGCGGGGGCGGCCCCCGAGCAGCCCCCGAGCAGCCCCTGACGGTGACGGGGCTCGGTGGGGAGGGGCCCGGCCCGCCCAGCGGACGGGACCTCGCCGGGAACGAGGCGGCCGCTGCCGCAGCTGCTCCTCAGGCGGCGTCTCGGTGGAAGCGCCGCGCCCGTGTGTGCGGGGGACACGCTCCCTGATGGCCAGGACGCACGGGCGGTGGGTTTCCAGACAAAACTCGAGCCTCCGGGGGCAGCGGCGCGGTCCTTCGTGTCTGCAGCGGGCACCCCTCCCGAGGGCCGTCTCCTGCTCAGCTGAACGTGGCTCCGGCCCCCGCGCCAGCCGGCCGGGACACCCTTGCCCGGTTCCTCTGCAGGTTGGGTCCCGGACGGCGTGGCCAGTTAACCTGTGTGACACGGGGGGCTCCCGGGGGTTCCTTGTACCGCAGAACGTAGCGCGGGGCAGGCGTGGGTTTCTTGTGTGCGGCGCCCACGTGTCCAGCAGGTGGCAGCACAGGGACGCCCTTGGGGCTTCCCTCACTGGCCGTTCCGCCCTCGGGAGGGGTCCACCGCCCTCGGGAGGGGTCCACCGGGGAGCAGCCGCGCCACGCAGAAAGGAGGCGGCCTCGGGCAGGCCCTTACCTCCTCTGCCTCAGTCACCGCTTCTGTGCCCGGCCTGGCGCCCCGGGGGTGGGGTGACGTGTCTGTTCTGTCCGTCCCATCCCCACCGGCGGTGGGTTCCTCGGCCGGGGAGGCCGGGTTCGCCGCCCGCCCCACGGGACAAGAGAGGCGGCTGGACGGTGATCACGGCGCCGGCCCCGAGCCCACGGGCCTCCAGCCCTCGCTCTGCTGGGCCTGGGACGGCACCGCCTCCCCGCCCCGCAGCTCCGCGGCCTAGAGGCGCTGACGTCGGGTGGGCCGGGCGCCAGGGGTCTGCGAGCACCCCCTGCACAGGGAGAGCCACAGCGGGAGCCGGGGAGGGGCTCACGGGGGAGACACGCGCGGGTGCCGTGGGCCATGTTCAGTGCTGTCCGGCACACGCCCGCCGTCCCCCGAGACCGGCTGTCATGGCCACTGGCACCTGGGGGTCAGACAGGTGTTTTCTTGGACGAAGTGAGCTGTCACTTCAGGTGTTTGTTGCCAATGATAAAGTTTGAAATTTCAAGCAGAAATGAGGATTTTGGGAAACTTGTCCCCACAAGTGGGGGCTCGGCTGCCTGCGGCCCGACGTGCGAGGACCGTCCTGAGAGCACAGTGACGCCAAAGCGCAGCTTTCTGTTCGCCTCTCTCGTGACCCTCGGGGTCTCGTCCCGCGCAGCATCGCGCCGTTGAAGGTGCGCAGGGCAACGGGCGGATGGCCACGCTGCGCCCGGGCGCAGGCTGCCCGGTTAGCGCCCTCCCGCACGCGGCCACCGCTCCGCCCGGTGTCGGGGGCTCGGACGGTCTGCTTGCCCTCCTGGCAACTGTCGAGCACTTGGCGTGGCGTTGTCAGCCCAGCCTCCGCCCTAGGCCCTGCGCCCGGGGCTGGTTCCTTCCACAGCTGGACATCTTGACTCCTGCACCCACACTGCCCCGCCCGCCGCTCGCCTCTGGCAGCCACCGCCTGCTCTCTGTGCCTGGGAGTCCGGGGCGTTTTTAGATTCCGTCTGTGAGTGAGGTTCTCTGTCTCGGTCGTTTTGCCTCACGGACGCCCCCAGCTCCTTGCACGTTGTTGCAAAGGGCAGGGTTTCCTCCTCTTGCGGCTGAGCTGCGCTCCAGGGTATAACCGTGCCACGTTGTCTTTATTCTCTCACCTGCCGGTGGGCACCCGGGTTGCTGCCGGTCTGGGCTGTTGTAAGCAGTGCTCTGTGAACGTGGGGACCCGGAGGCTTGTTAGGGTACAGTCCTCTCTGTCTGCGTTGGGAGGGCTTCCGCGCTGTTTTACCCAGCGGCCGCCCCGGTCCGCGTCCCCACCCGCAGTGCTCGCGGGCCCCCTTCCCCCGCGTCCACGCCAGCGCGCGTCGTCTGCCGGCTCACCGATGCCGCCCCTGCACGGGGGCGGGGGGGCCGCTCGTGCTGGTCCTGGTGTGTTTCCCCGATGCTGAGTGACGCGCGGCGCCTTCCCATACACCTGTGGGCCGTCCGTACGTCCTCTGGGAACACGTGTGCTGGGGTCCTCTGCCCGTTTTCTGACCCAGTCACCAAAACAGGAAATACAGGCCTGAACATATTAAAGAAACAGCCTCTTATTTCAAACCTTCCCAGAAAGAGCACCCTAAACTCAAGTGGCTTTGCTGGTGAACTTTCAGTTGTTAAGGAATTAAAACCACGGTCTTAACTAATACCTACAGAAAACAGACAAGCAGAAAACTTCCTTAAACGTGCATAACCTGAGCTTCTGGACCTGGCCTGCTGCTGTAAGAAGTTGCTGCAGGCCAGTTTCCTGCGTGAACGGGGCTGGAGAACCCTTAACCTAAAAAAACACTGAACCTGCGTAAAAACATGGCCAGGCCGCGCGCACCCCAGGAATCCCGGTTCGCCTCCTGCGCCATCTGCAGTGGGCGCCGCCGGGGGTGGGGGCGGCAGGCAGAGGCCTCACGCCGCCCACTCTGCAGGTCCTACCTGACGCCCGTCCGCGACGAGGAGGCCGAGTCTCTGCGGAAAGCGCGCTCCAGGCAGGCTCGGCAGACCCGCAGGTCAACGCAGGTGAGTGTGGCTGCCTCCTGCATCTTCTCACCCCTCTGTGCCCTTTGATGGCCCCGGTTCCCACTCACGGTGACCCCGCGTGCAGGCCGGTCCCGGGGCACTGGCAGCGGCGGGGCCTGGGGGCTGGGGGGCGGGCAGGGGCTACTGACGGACGGACGGGTGTGGGGCTCCTCCTGGGGCCTGACCCCACCCTGGCGTTAGGTCGCCGCAAGGAGCAGCCTGGAACCGAAACCGCTGCGTCGTGCTCTTGTCGGGGCTGAGCCACGTGGGTCGTGCCCAGGCATAAACGAGGGCGCTGGCGGCGGGGGGGAGCAGTCTGCGAGGCGGCCTCAGAGGGCTCCACGCGGAGCCAGAGGCTCAGGTCTGGGGGGCGGGCTGGGCTGGTGCCCCCTGACCACAGTCTCCCCGCAGGGCGTGACGCTCACAGACCTACAGGAGGCAGAGAGGACCTTCAGCCGGTCGCGGGCCGAGCGGCAGGCTCAGGACCAGCCTGGCCAGAAGCCCGCGAGTGCCGAGGGGCCGGGGGCCCGCACCGAGGGGCCGGAGCCTGCCACCGCCGTCCCCGCAGCGGACGCCGGGGAGGGCCGCCAGCCCGCCGGCCGGGCCCTGCGGGAGGAGGTGAGGGGAGCGGGGAGCGCGTGGGCGGGTGGGGGCCTGCCCGGGCTCTCGGGGGCGGGGCTGCCGCTCAGCGCGTGGCTCGCAGGGACACCGTGCGCCCTTCTGCCCTGTGACCTGAGTGCCTGGAGGGTCCGGGGAGCCGGGAGCTGGCCACCCTGTCCCCTGGAGTGGACCAGCGTTCAGGCGCACTGAGGGTTGCAGGTGCACGGCCTGGTACCTTGATGTGTGGACATACTGTGGCGTGATTGCCCCAGCAAGTTTAGTCAGTTCAGCTCAACCGAACGAAATTTGTTCTGTAACTGAGTGAGTGTTTCTCCTAAGAAGAGAAGTTACAGTGTAATAAGATGTTATGGAAACAGAAGCGTTTACTATAACTTGATACCAGACATTCCGTAACTGTTGCACATCTATTAGTTGGTTTAATTCTTGGAGCAGCCCGTGGAGGTTCCTGCTTTAACTGTGAGGAAGTTGGGTTGGAAGGAGGCGAGGCGGCTCGCCCAGCATTTCAGGCGCCTCAGCGCGCTCAGCGCGGGTCTGCCCACGGGCGGGCCTTGGAGCCCGGAGCGGCCTCAGCCGTGCGTGCGCACGGTGTCGCCCAGGGGCGCGCGGCGGCGCACGTCCTGGGCGGGGTGGTGGTCTCCAGGGACCCGCCCAGCCGCTGAGAGGCAGGGTCCCCGCGCTGCCCACGAGGAGCTGCGGCCCAGGGCAGTGAGGTGGCTTGTTCACGGCCACGCAGCCAGCAGCGGGTGCAGCGGGCATTTGAGCCACGCTCGCTCTGCCCCCGAAGCATGCTGTGTTTCGATGCTTCTGTCTTGGTAATTTGTAAACAAGAAGGTACACAGTCGCCGGGAGCAGGAGGGATCCCTCCCTCTCGGCATCTCCGCACACCCAGGTAGCGCTCCTCGCCGGGCCTGGTCCCAATGTCCAGGGGAGCCCGCAGGCCCCGGCGGGGCAGGTTGGGGCTCAGACGGCAACCACGCTGGCGACGTTCCCACGGAGCTCTTGGGCAGTGCTTCGTCCTAAAAAGCCACCATCCTTCCTTTCTTTATTCCAAAATCAAGGGGTTTCTGTCGAAGCCAAGTGCCGCCTGGCGCCCTCTGGCCGATGCAGGAGCAGCTCCCAGGTGTCACCAGATGGGTGCCCAGAGGCTGTTTCGGGCTGGCCCACCACCTCCAGCTCGGCCCAGTGGCTGTGCCGCGAGCATCTGCTGCCAGCAACCCTCTCGGTGCAGAAAAAGCCCGTTTTCAGCAAACGTGCCCTGTACCTCCTTCAGTTGGACGTGACCTCTAACCTCTCCTGCTCTGGGTTGTCTCCAGCCCACGTATCGCCGCCTGAGGGGCTCAGCGCAGCCAGACCAGCCCGCCTCGGCTGCGCCCCTGTCTGCCTCAGGGCCCCCGCTCTACACCAGCTCCTGCCTGCTGCGGGCGGGCAGGCTGCCGGCCCCCGCCTCGGAGCCTCCGGAGACGGCGGCGACAGACAGGGACGGTGGGTAGAGCCTCCAGAGACGCAGCCCCCCGCCCCCGCCCCGGGCGCGTGCCCCCACCTGGTGGTGTTCACGCCCCGCCTTCTCTCTGACCAGAGGGCGAAGAAGCAGGTGCGGAGGACCCATCCCCCGGCGGGCTGTCCGTCCGGGAGCGGCGGCGGCTCAGGGAGCGGCGGAGGGGCACGGGCATCAGCCTCTGGACCAAGGACGTGAGTGGACACGCCCGCGTGCCGCCCCCCTGCTGAGCCCAGTCCCACACGCGGCACGAGGGGCAAAGGGGCAGGAAACAGCCGTGGGGGGCAGAGGAGGAGGCGCTGGCGTGGCCGCGTCTGGACGTCCTTGGATGCTCGAGGCCGGGAGTGGGCCTGGGCACACGGCAGGGGCCCGGTGACCGATGGGGGACGAGGGAAAAGGCGCCGTTACAGCCTCCTGTTGCGGCCGCCGTCCTCGCGGCCCCCGAGGGGAGCTGCGCGGCCTGGGGCCTGCGTGAGCCGAGACGAAAGCGAGCTCCGGGGTCCGCAGGAGGGGTGACCCGTGCGCGTGCCTGGCCCCCCACCACCGCCCCCCGCGGCTCTGCTCCCTGGAGAAAGCCGGAGGGAAGGACAGACCAGCCCCGCGTGGCCCGGCCGCGCAGCAGAGGCGGGCGCCCTGTGCCCACGGGCTGCACACGTGCCTGGTGCCGAAGCCGTCCCCCCGCCCCCGGGCTCTGCCCTCTCACCCCACCCGGCTGCTGGCGTTTTAAACGTCGGACGCCTGGCTCCCCGAACCCCGGTGACCTCAAATGAGCTACTTAGGGAGACGAGACGTGGCGGCCGCTGTTGGCCGCCCACCGGGGCTGCACGTCAGCAGGTCGCGGCGCAGGACCGGGTCGCGGCGCAGGACCGGGGGAGGCTGTTGGCAGAGGCGGGATAAGTGCCGTCAGTCTTGACGTCCCCTCCTGCCCGGTGCCATCGGTGCCGTGAGGCAGGGACAGGCCTGAGCTGGCCGTCCTGCGGCCGTCGAGGCCATCGGCGCCCGGGCCGGGCGAGGGGCCGGGACGCGGCGTGGCGCTGGCGGCGAGCCCTGCTGCCATCCAGCACCTGTGACCGGGCCCCTCTGTTCTTCCTCCTTCCCGCCCAGGAAGATGAAGCCGGTGGCTCTGAGGAGGTGAAAGAGGCGTGGGTAAGTGACGAGCCAGCGCGGTGCGTCCCTGGCGGCCGGCTCGCGTGCACGCGCAGTGTTAATGGGGGAAGGCGCCCCGTGCAGGGCGGGGCGGGGGCTTCTTCGCAGCCACGTGGCCTGTGGTGCTGTTGACGCCCTCAAGTGGCTTCCTGCGTTTCCAGCGCCCCTCCCCCAACCCCCAGTGCGGTGGGAGGACCAGCCGTCTCTTTCCCTCTCATGGGAACGTCACCGGGTTGTGTAAACCACTCAGCCTTGGGCGGGAGGTGAGGACCGGCACGGTTGTTGGCACCATGGAGGTTCACTTCATGTCTCTGTGCTCCCACGGGGAGCCTGTGGCCAGTGCTCCCGTGCAGGTGGGCACACGCTGGAGCGGGTCCACTGTCTGCCCCAGGTCTGCCACAGAGGGCAGACCCGTCCTGGCTTCCCCGGGCGGGGACGCCACGGAGCCGTGCCTGGGAGGCGGGGCTTTGCTCAGGCCGGCGGTGTGCGGGGTATCGTCAGTGCCCGCCCTTTGGCCAAGTCGTGAGCCGGCGGGGCCACGGTGCGTCTGCAACGTGACGTCCCGGCTCCTTTGCCGGTGAATTTCCAGCCAAGCCGGTTGGTTACCCACACCAGGTGTGTAACGGCCTTCCCCTTGGCGGCGATGAAGAGACTGCACCCTAACGTGGGGAGGCCGCCTGCCTGCGCAGGAGCATCCTGGTTTCCACGCCCTCCGCCTGCACAGCAGGCCTCCCGGCGGCTGGTGGGCGCTGCCTCCACTCTCCGCGTCCCTGGTGTTCACCACTTAGCGATGCGCCGCACCCCTGTGCTCCGGCGGCCCCACTGTCGCTCCCAGCAGCGCTGGGTCGTCACGAGAGGGCCCAGGTGGCCAGCAGGAGACACGGGTCACCTCGCAGGTCAGGCAGCTGGCTTTGTGCCCCAGGGCCTGTTGCGAACCCAGTCAAAGTGGCAGAGCTGCTCGCCCCCCAGGGCCGGGGGACGTAGATGTGACTCAGGCTGGGAATGTCACTTGACCGTCAAGGAGACGGAGCTCTGGTGAGCCACGGGCCCCGGGGCACCCCCGCCCCGTGCCGCTGGGCCGCAACCTTGCACAGACGATGCTCCGCCTGAGCCCGGGGCCTGGGAGGCGAGGCACTTCCAGGCCGCAGCGCGTTCCTCCCCGTGGCTGTCGCACGGCTGTCGGGTGGGCTTCGGGCTGTCCTGTGTCTCGGGGGACCTGCTGCCAGGACAGGCAGGCGGCAGGTGCGCGGAGCTGCAGCCTGGAGCCGCCCGCAACCCCCGCCTGGGACCCGGGCCCCTGCTCCCTGCTGCGTCAAGGGCTGCTGTTCGATCCGACCCCGGAGAGTTGCACCCCGAATGTGAATGAGTCTGTTTAAGGTCACCCAATATATAGTGTGCGTCCTAAGCATAAGGTTTAGCCCACTGAGCATGAGGTTTCTGCTGACCTTAGTCTTGTGCTTTGATGTCACTCACTGACTTGCCCTCAGGGGGCGGGGTAGGGGCTGGGCGGGGGCGGGGCTTGGGCCCTCTGCACCCCGGAAGTAGGGGAGAAGGAACTTTCCGAGGGGCCCTGGGGCAGGGGCGGGGCGGGAATGCCCGGAGCCTGGGGGCACCTGTGGCAGGCGGGCGGGCCTCCCACCAGGGCCCCCCTCCCCTCGCCCTGCCCTGCCGCCTCAGGGGCCCGCCCTGCTGTTCCCCGGTTCCCCGCAGCCCCAAGCAGCCCATCCCTCTCGGCTGCAGTTTTCCACGACTTCGCTCCTGGCCGTGTCCTGGGCTGGGCTTGCTCTCCCGCAGGGCTGCACCCTTGTTACGTAACCTTGCGAAGCCCCTGTTTCTGCGGGAGGCGCCCAGTGATCTCCCGCCCCCTCACAGCCCTCGTCCTTTTAGGTAAAACCCCAGGCTGCAAGCCTCCCGCTCGGCCCGGCTGCCTAATATGGTAAGGAATGTCCCGGCGAGCTGCCCCCGCGGCCACCGCGGGGCCGCCTGTGAAGACCAGGCGGCGGGCTGTCCTGCAGGCCGTGACTGTGGCCCCTGCAGCAGCTGCTGCCTTCTCGGAAGCCGGCCTCTCCCCTCCGGCAGAGCGAGCACCCGGCAGGACATAGGTGCTCCTCCCGCGGCCTCTTCCCCTTTGCCCCGATAAGAAGGGAGCGGTCGGAGAAGTCCGGGGCGGGTGATGACACCCTGATGCTCACGGGGGCCGCCCCCTCGGGACCCCCTTGCCAGCAGGCTGGGCTCGCGGAGAGGCTGACGGGAGGGAGGAAGCTGTCGACGGGGGGACCCCCGCCCCCGTGCAAGGGCGACCTGCGCCTTCCACTCCGCAGCCGGCTGCTCAGAGCTGCCTCTCGGCATCTTCCTTTTAAGGACGCGATTAAATTTAGGTCTTGCTGTCACCCGGGAGATGCGGTCACCAGAGCTCGCCTCGTTCCCGCGGGGCCCCGTGGGCTGCGGCCCCCCTGCCCGCCAGGCTGGCGCACGCTGCTCCGGTCGGGGACCTTGGTGCCACGGGACAGTTGACTGGCACGTTGCCTTTTGGGGCTCTGCTCAGACGTCTCGTCCGAGGCCGTGAGGGTTTATCGGCCACCAAGGTTGGTGCCGTTGCCCGCCGGTCCTCCTCCTGCCTCATAGCCTCCAGCTGCGGTTGTGCTGCTGACTGGGACCCCTTTCCCCTGCTGGAACTTCCGGTTGTTCAGGAAACTGGCGTGTCAGGGAGCGCAACGCCTGGCTCCCTGTGGCCAGGACGCTTCTGGTGGAGGCCATCACACCTGTGGGGACCGCGGGTCCCCGTGACCCAAGTGTCCTGTGGGAGGCCCATCCCTGGACAGTTCTGGCGGAACAGGTCTACTTTCGGAGTTCGAAACCAAACTCGGTTTATGTGTAAATTCTGGTTTCTTGGCAGAGGGCAGTTCCGAAAGTCCCGCCACCACGTAACCCGAGGAAAGCCGAGCCCCGGTTTGCTCCTCCCGACGCTGGGCCCCGGCCTGACGGCCGCACCGCCCTCCGCTCTGGGTCGGCAGCGGCCGCTCCCAGGGCTGCTTTCCCAGCAGGTGCAGCCTCTGCGCTGCTGTCCCTCAGGCGCGTCCGGAGGTGTCCCCGGGTCGGTGTTCGTGGGACAGGCCTGGAGGTCCCTCGGACGCTGAGTAGGGGAGAGGGACGGGGGGGGGGGGGGGGGGTGCAGGCCCAGGGCTCTGGGTGGCGGAAGCTTCCCACGTGCTGCTTCCAGACCTGCGTAGCAGACGCCGTCCCTGGGGGCCCGAGGGGGCCTGGGGCAGCCTGGGGGGCGCCCCGGCAGGTCGGGGAGGCTTCACCGCTGTCATGGCAGCAGGGATTTAATCCGAGTTTGCTTCCTGACGAGTGTTTTACCTGCAGCCCGCAGCGGAGCCGGTAGCAGAGCTGATTAGAGGGCGGCGGTGAGGAAGGATTGTGTGGTTCGAGGCAGACCAGTGCGGGAGCCCACCAGTTAAGTCAGACTCGGAGTCAGGGAGTGTTTCTCTCACCAGCCAGAAAAGATGGTGTCCAGGTTTATTTCGGCAAGAGCGTAGCGAAACAGCCTTAATTAAGACTTCCTTTTTGGACATCACATTGTCAAACTGTCAGAAGCCCCAGACTGGTCCACAATGTTCGCTTAAGGTCATCTCTCTGGGAAACAGCCCAACACATGCAGCAGCAGCGAGCGCTTTATGGACAGGGACGCCCCTCACAGCGTCTGTGGCGCGTGTGGCTCTGAGAATGTCGACTTGCCCGCCTGTCTGTCGTGCCGGCTGTTTGTTGACGCCGCGGCGCACGTTTTATAGCTGAAGAGAAGGTGGGTGGGCGGGGAGCGGAAGGAGGGGCCTGTGGGATGTGGGGCAGGGACACAGAAGCGGAGGGCGACGCGGCGACCCGGGGAGCGGAGGAGGCCGGGGCGGCCGGTGAGGGGCTGCAGGGCGCGTCCCCGGGCGGGCGATCGGAGAGACGGGGGGCCCCGAAAGGCCCGCCGCCCCCACGGTGGTGGGGCCGGGCCGGCAGCAGGCCCCTGGACGGACGGGACCCGAGGACGGGCGTCTTCCAGCTGCCGTGGACGAGCCGCCAGGACACGGCCGCACGGAGGTGTCTCGGAGGCGCCGGGCGGACGCGCCGCCGCACGCGCAGGAACGGCTTCCAGCCACGGCCGCCCTGCCGCGGGGAGAGGCGGGCGAGGGAGGCGGGGAACGCGGTGTTCGGACGGGGTCCCGGGGCTTTCATGTTTACAAAGGGAATCTGAACTCTGACAGTCATGACGTGGCCTTCGCTCTAAGTAGAGAAGATGCCCATTCCCCTCGGAGGCGGATGTGCTAGAAATGGGAGGGTGGCCCCCAGAGCAGGAAGAAGACCGAGCGGGAGCTGCAGCGCCCGCCCCAGTGGAGCCACAGGCCACGGGGGTGGCGTCCCTTCTTCCTGCCTGGCCTGCGGGGCTCCCAGCGGTCACAGGCCGCAGAGGAAATCGCCGGCCTGTTTCGGAGAGACACCAGGTTAATGGTAGTGACAAGCGTGAGCATAGCGAGCCTGGCCCTGTGTTTACAGTTCCTTCCGTAAGCGTCCGCGCGCGTAGCTCTGAAGGCTCTCGATTTGCGGCCTGCGGCAGCAGCCCCCGGGGCCCTTCGCCAGCAGTGCCGGGCCTGGTGTTGGGGCTCGGTGCCGCGGGGCTGCTCCGACGGGCGCGCCCGCGTGTCCGGGCTCCAGAACGGGCAGTGCGCGTGTCATCAGGTGGCGGTGCCATTCGCATCTCCCTTTTACGCTTTTTAAAACAAGTGCCCTGAGATGAACTTTGTAAGACAACTCTCAACCTTACTCAGTGCTGGTCTTTCTAACGGAAGTGTTAGGTGAGTCTGCTTTTTAAAAAGCTGCTTTAACCAGCCGTAGGCCCTGGAGAAGGGGGGCCTGTGTGAGTTGATAGAAAGATTCAATTGGGCCGCTCCTGCCCCCATCCGTGGGGGCGTCTGCTCGGGCGCCGGGAGCTCTTGGGCAGAGGAGCGCCTTGCGCC